CGTGATGGAAAATAGCCTCGATCTTATGATGCCTTTTCTGACCAATCAAGCAGGGACTGCGTCTATATACCCAGAAGCATGAATAGGGAACGGATCCGCTTAATACATGAATGTTCGGGAAGGCTAAACTGTACATCCTGTCTGACTGCGATGTCATGCACTGTGCTAGGTAGCTTGAGAAGTAAATTGAGCTCTCTCTCCCTCCCCTCGCCCCATCTTTATATCTATATCTCGGCGTGTTCGAAACCGCACTTACTTTTGGTGCGGTGTTGTAGTTTAAGTATTAGTTATGGTTGACGATCGCATGATTCGATCAAAACCCTCAGCACTGCGTCCCACGCGGACCATAATATCGCCTGTGCAACGGCAAAATGCATTTCAGACCGTACATAACATTTCATTAACAAGTCAACGTATTTTGTACCAGGCGTTGGTTCCGGCGCTCTTTCCAGCAGATCATGCGCCTGTTACTGTGACGAGCGCTGTTGGACTTAGCCTGGATTGAACACTTGGTACGATGACATGAACTTGTCAAAGATGGTTGTGCAACCAGTCGAAAATACAGTGTGCGCACAAAAGTATGGCCTCGTGAGGGGCCGATTTGAAGGCACCGCCCATGCTGCCGTGTGCGCTGTCCCAATTGCTCTAGTTAGGCAGAGTAGGAACGTCATCATGAAAAGGATGGGCTGACTGCCAACTAAGAAACCTAATCTGAAAAGTTTCAGTGATTGCTTAAGCATACCGCAATACAGTTGATGGTAATATTAGAATTTCGTACGAGACACACCGCCATCTCATGGTACAGCGGGAACGTCTGGAAATAAAGCAACATCCGTAGAAGTTGCTACGATTTGCGCAATGATAAAAAATGCTAAAGAGCGCAGAGTTGCAAAGCTCACGTGAGACGACGGACTGCAGTAAAGTTCCTGTTGAGATGACACCTGCTAAAGAAAACGCCGCTCAATACATGTTTTAGAAGGCTGATGACATGACGGGAGTCTTGAAATCTGCGACAAGCATCATGGTAACGGACGTCGGTAACGGATGACAATAACGGACGTCAATAGCGGACGACGGTAACGATCGTGTATGAAGCAGATTCATAATTAAGGAAAATCAGAGTGGATGGATGTAGGCTTAGAGGTAGCATAAGTGAGCGAACTAAGAACCTAACAAACATGTTCACTTCGGAATTTGTCCTCTTCTCAACAGTTCCTCTTAGCATCATAAGAATATATATCGGTGGTCGGAAGATCATAAGTGGTGAACAGCTAGGCTTAAAAATACGTGCTAGGGAGAGTAGTTTTGATAACTTTAAATTGGTTACTTCGGATATTCATTCAACACCACTCATTGCAACTTGAGAGATTGGGGATCCGTAGCTGCAATACGAATCTCTCAACAAAAGACACCGATGCCTTTCAAAGGATCAATTATTACTTTATGTGGAAGTATAACACGCGCATGAGTCTAGCACGAAAGACTTCGATAGCATGTTGAGGTCGTACGCCCGATGAGTGGATCGTTAGTGACGCAACGATGCTCAGTTCATTGCACAAGGCATGTAACTTGCACACCTCACCACGTTTGTGAACAAGTGCCGTGTATGCTTGGAGAGCGCTACAAGAATTCTACAATCGTTGTTTTCTCCACGACCGGGTCACCATGACACGTCGTCTTCACGAGTTCTGGATAGACAAAACGTCTACGGCCAAGCATACCAAGCATCTGGATGAATCTGTCGATCTAGCCATCATATTACAGACGCTAGAAGAGTCCGTTGATGAGGCAGGAAGTTAGAGATTTGCGTAGCAGTATTTTCTCCGAGTATGGTACGGTTGTCTTAGGCGTAGAGAAGCTAAGGACGTGTCCCTAGTTGAGGTAAACGATAAGTTGATCAAGGAGCAGGAGTGCTGGAAAATAAGGATAGCAGCGTGGAAAAGACGTTCCGAGCCGATGGAATCCATAAAAAGTTCAAAGGTGGTCGAGGACACGATCACAAGAGGAATGCCCTAAGGAAGAATGGCGGTTGTTTTAAGTGAAAGTGAGTAAGGCATAACCACGGAGCTTAGAGGCGATGACAGTAATGTTTGTGTAATTGTCGTGGACGAGGAACGACCGAAAATATGACTGATCGACAGTCATATTTTCGGTCGTTCCTCGTCCACGACAATTACACAAACAGGTGCTACATCGCAAATGACTCCACATCTTTCTTACTTATTCGGCTACGAAGCACCGAGCGTCGGCTTTAAATTAGTTGATATTACACCGCTGAACAAGTACGATTCATGGTGTTAGGATGATGATTCATGAAATAAATTATCAGGAAGTTATGCTAGTTTCAGAAGATTGACTTAGAAAAAGCGTGACATAAAGGCTTAGAGACAGCTCGTGATAGCGAAACAAGGACCTTAAATATACTTAGTTCGGCATTTGCCTCCAACACAACTTACGCATATTGCAAGCATGAAGTAATGGGGTTTCTCATGCAATTCGTTGACGATGAGGTCTTGACGAACAATTCGAAAGCATATATGGCATCACCTATTGGAGTTATCGATACGAGATGTTGATTTAAAGATGGAGTACTTTAGTGGGATCAAGAAGTCTAAAAGTATCGCCCAAGTTAATCAGTCAAAACGGTGTATCTAGAAGAAACGGGATGCTAAACGCAGATTTTTCTTTTCTTTCGGGGTACATGGAAGGACAAGCAGGAGTGAAAGCTCAGTCTCGCAGCAGAGTATGTGGTTCAACACTTGACGATGCTTCAATCCTATGGATATCGCGTACGGTGATTAATATTTAAAATGATATGATGTAGTGGTATTGAATTGGTTGTCGTGTTACGATAAAAAAAGTGAGGGCAGTATGGGATCTGGTTGCAATAACGAAAGCATTTTATCGGATTGTGAATCGATTTTGATTGACTCTGAGATTATTAGTACTGATTTTGATCTACTCGATGTCAAGTCAGTGATTTTGGAGACAAAGAATAGATATTTTACCGATGTCATCCGTGACACGCTCGATTTCAGTAAAGAGAGCTCGGTGTGTGTGCTAGTGATGATGTAATTGATAAAATCATGCAAACAAACTCACTATCTTATATATTTAAATGACGCAAGAATTCGAATCAGGTTTTGACATTCAATCAGATGACTAAAATTAGGACAATTATGAGATAAATTTGGTGAGTTTTTAATATCGATCAAAGACACCTGACGATAGAAACAGCGAGTAATGGGAACCAAAAATACAAGACGATCCCTGGAAAGGAAATGCATGGAATGGAGACGCGGGGATACCTGCCAGACATGATACAGTGCTACAATGCGAGGATGAGAGGACGCGTGATTCCAGTCATGACCTGATGAAAACGTGCATGATTCCTGAAATTATCACTGGAGAACCGAGAAAATTCCAAAGGAGGAGCTCGGTGACATCTTCGATATGAAAAAGACGGCGTATAAAGATGGCACGACACAGAAAATGCCCTGAACCTGTTCACCCGTCGTAACTTCAAGGATACCCTGTGGATGCTGCAATTTAAGAAAGCAGAGATACAATCTCAGCGTAACTAAAATGGCTTGTAAACGCGACATCGATTTCGAAAAGCTATACTAAGGAGATAAAGAATCAGAAAAATGACGAGTGGTAGATTATAGCAGCTACGAACTGAGTCAACTGTAAAGACTCTAATCTTGTTGCGCATTCTTTTATTTCTTGCTGCTGTAATGCACATAAAGCACAATTGCCTATTTTGTAATTTTGTTTATGTGTCGATTCACAATCCTTATATCATACAACATCCCATGTGATCCATTAGAGGGTGTTCTGCGCTTAAGCGTGTTGATGTGGTAAGGTGGATAATCGGGACAGTGGACTACAGAATTTTGTATTTAACAGGGTGCAATTACCTCTCACTTACTATTGTCCCCCTCTCTGAATGCGCCTTCTTCATCTTTTGCAGATTTGAAGCCCAAATATTTTATGTTTAGCACAGAAAATTAAAAGCCCAACTTTAACCGACAAGCTGTTGCTTATGCCGAGATACTCAGCACTGAAGTTGATGTAAAACTTCAGCAAGCCAGATGTGTGAAGCTTTTAGTGACGGTGCACAAAGTGAGTCCCGAACCTTTAAGAAAGTCTGTGCGTTCATGTTTCTGTGTCTATTTTTGTGTGTAAATACCGTTAGGTGTACCTCACACGTCGTACTAAGTGAGATGTAGCCTTAATCTCCTCAGGGGTAGATATGTATAACAGATGTCACTCTTCGAAGGGGGCATTAAAAGGGTCAGACACACCAGCACCATTAAAAATCCGTGGGCGTGATTCTGGGTATCCAATTTGAAACTCTGGTGTCCACCGAGAGACTAAACGTTAGCAGAAAAAGGACTTTATCCAATGTCCAGGTATTTTAATTACGACCGCAGAGAGAGGGTAAGTCATACACGCCCTTACACCCGAACTTAATCAGTTTGAAGTAAAACTGACGAATAGAGGGCTAGCAAGCTAACTCTCGACATATAGAGGCATCAAAAATATCGCACCTGTAGCAAACAGAAGTTATAAAGTGGTTTTTGTTAACATAGCACCGTCTACTGCTTTTTATGTTCATGGATAGGTTTGGAAGAATCGAGAAGGACTGGCTGAGAAGAAGCACAGCATGACGTCATCGGGTGACGTCACAAGGAGAGCTTCTTAAACCTTCTGGAAGATCTTGAGAAGATCGAAGGGTGTTGATTGGTCTAGATAAACCAGTGAACCTTCTAGAAGATCTTGAGAAGATCGAAGGGTGTTCATTGGTCTAGCTAAATCAGTGGGACTGATATAGTTTGTCTAAGTATAGGAAATGAGTGGCTTAGAGGTAGCGAAGCAAGTTTGCGAACTAAGGACCATAAATATATTCACTTCACAATTTGCCTTCGCCTGCGCACATCAACATCAACAGGTTAACAGCCGCAACGCGCTCCAAACGCCAAGCCACCACGTCCACCATGACAAACAAGCGGTGTGAAGTCCTCCTGGGTAGTGGAAACTACTTCCACTGGGAGTATAACATGCGCATGACGTTGGCGCGCAAGGGGCTGCTGGTGCACGTTCAAGTCATCAAGAAAGAAGAAGAGATGACGGATGCCTGGCTGTTCAACGACGCTAAGGCACTGGGTATCATCGCTCAAGGCATAGAGCTACAGCACCAGACCAAGATACGATCGGCGACGACAGCTATGCACGCGTGGGTCATCTTGCGGGACTTCTACAACCGCACCACGCTCCACAATCGTGTCGAGATGACACGTCGTCTGCATGAGTTCAAGATGGAGAATGGTTCGACCATGTCGAAGCACTTGGATGCCTTTGAAGAGCTTGTTGTCGGCCTCCAGACACTTGGAGAGCCAGTCGATGACTCTCGGCAGCTAGTGGTGCTGCTTAGTAGTCTTCCGACGGACTATGAGCTCATCTCGTCAATTGTAGAGAATTCCAAGGACATTACGCTCATCGAGGTCAAGGAAAAGCTGCTCAAGGAGCATGAACGATTGCAGAGGAAGGAGACTACGGAGAAGGCGTTTCCTGTAAGCAGCAACGGTAGACGGTTCAAGGGAGGCCAAGGTAACGGCCGCAAGGGAAACTATCTACGGAAAACCAACACCGGAATTAAAGGCAAGTGCTTTAAGTGTGGTCAAGTCGGACACTATAAGCGGGACTGCCTGAAGCGTAGCAATGGCGAGGAAGAAGGTGCTGTGTTTGCTGCTGGTGAGTTGCAATGCGAAGAATGGCTTATCGACAGCGGGGCTACGTCGCACATGACACCACATCGGAGCGGTATATTTGAGTACAAGGAGTTGAAGACTGGTCAACAAGTCTCTATCGCTGATGGCAAGAAGCTGCAGGTAGCTGGAGTGGGAACAGTCAAGCTGAAAAGTCTAGACGGTCGACGGATAATGATGGTCGAGGTCATGCACATACCAGGACTTGACAAACGATTGCTGTCCGTTGGCAAACTGGCAGGACGAGGCATGAGGGTGGAGTTTCAAAGCTCGTCCTGCATCATTTGGAGTGCCAAGCGCGCGATTGCAAGCGGCAAGAAGATTGGCAAGGCGTACTTCCTGGATTGCGAACAAGAAGAAGCCCGGCTTGTAGAATACGCAGGGGCTGAAAGTGAGTGGGAGCTTTGGCACGCTCACTTGGGACACCCCGGAAGATCTGGTATGGACAAGACACAGCGCGCTACGAGTGGTATGCCGGCGGTAAAGCAGGGCATCGAGAAGCTGTGCAGTGGATGCATGAAGGGCAAGCTGACGATCGATACATTCCCGTCTCAATCGCTAACAAGGACGTCACGTGTGTTGGAACTAGTACACACGGACGTGATGGGACCGATGAAGACGGTCTCAAAGGGTGGTGCACGATTCGTATTGACATTCGTAGACGACTACTCAAGATTTGTGGCAGCGTACTTCATGAAGCACAAGAGTGAGGTGGCCGCAAGGCTTAGCGAGTTCAAGGCTTTCTATGAGAATCAATGGGGCAAGCACTTGAAGTGTATACGGTCGGATAACGGGACGGAGTTTGTCAACAAGAAGATTGCCCATATATGCGCCCGTAATGGTATCATGCACCAGCGGACAGTACCATATAGTCCGCAACAGAACGGCGTTGCGGAACGCATGAATCGCACTATCATGGAGAAGGCAAGGAGCATGCTGTACTACAAGGGTATCGACATGCAGTGGTGGGCAGAGGCGGTCAGTACGGCTGTGTACTTGATCAACAGATCCACAAACTCTGCAAATTCGGACGTAACACCGTTCGAGGTTGGTTTCAAGATGAAGCCGAGTATTGAGCATTTGCGTGTGTTTGGATCGCAAGGGTATGCTCACATTGACGACGCCAAGAGGACGAAGCTCGAACCAAAGAGTTACCGGTGTATGTTCCTCGGATATGCGGAGAACACCAAGGGATACAGGGTGTTCAATCTGGAAAGGTCGAAGGTTGTCATATCGCGCTCCGTAAAGCTGGACGAGCGGGAAGTTGAAGGCATATACGACACGGTGGTACCAGATAAAGTACCAGTCGTCAAGTATATTAGGGACACTGATGAAGCAGTGATTCCGGTGGTTCGTCCGTATGATGGAGACGAGACGATGGAAGATGTCGAAGAAAGCGCTCCTGATGTCGAGATGGACGAGATAGAATCGGCTCCATTCGAAACAGGTATCATCATACCTCAAGTACTCGATCCAGAAACTCAAGAACCAAGAGGCGATGAGATAACGGGATATCAAGCTCCGAGACAAGCTTTTCAGGAGGACAGGTTGGTATTTCAGCCGGAGATAAATCGGACAAGACGCTCACGAGACAGAATGCTGCTGCTTGAGAATGGGAATAGCAGTGAAGACACGTCAGAAGGTAGCGATGAACCACCTTCTCCAAAGCGTGCAAGAATTGATGACGAAGGTCTCATTGCAGAGGCTGTATTAGCCTATGCTGCAAGCGTTGGCGAGGCGGACGACGCTCCATCAACATACAGCCAAGCGTTAAAAGGCGAAGACAACAGCAAGTGGATTCCAAGCGGAGCTCAAGGCGCACGCCGATAACGGGTCCTGGACACTGGTACCAAAACGGCAAGACATTCGACCAATCGGGTGCAGATGGATATTCGCTAAGAAGCGAAACGAACACGGACAAGTGGTGCGCTACAAAGCTCGACTCGTCGCAAAGGGGTTCAAGCAGAAATTCGGTGTCGACTTCTTCGAGACGTACTCTCCCGTGGCAAACATGAACTCGATCAGGGTTGTGCTAGCTGTGGTGGTGACAAAGGGATACGTCACTGAGCAGCTGGACGTAGACACGGCGTTCTTGAACAGTGATCTCAAGGAAGAGGTGTACATGGAAGTGCCAAATGGCATAGCTAATGCGGAGAAGATGATGTGCAAGTTGGACAAGGCAATCTACGGTCTCAAGCAGGCTGCAAGTGCGTGGAACAAGACAATCCATGCTGTATTCTTACAGATCGGATTTCGTAGCAGCAGAGCAGATCAGTGTATCTACGTCAAGCATCAAGATGACAACTATGTCTATGTTTGTCTCTACGTCGACGACATGATCATCGCCGCCAAGACCAGCAGGGAGATTCAAGAGGTCAAGACAGCACTCAAGAGCTCATTTCGTATGAAGGAGCTAGGCAAGGCTAAATTTATTCTTGGCGTGGAGATTGATCATGACCACAACTGCAGTAAGCTGATGATTCGACAGACTCGATACATCGATGATGTGGCCAGCCGTTTTAATCAAGAGGACGCAAAGGCAGTGGTCAACCCATGCGAGTCCGGCCTGAAGCTGTCAAAGAAGCAATTCCCAACGACGGATGTCGATAGAGCAGAAATGCAGTCAAAGCCGTACAGGTCGCTGATCGGATGTTTGCTATACATCACGACATGTACGCGCCCAGATGTGATGTATGTCATCACGCAGTTATCAAGGTTTTTGGAGAATCCAGGTCAGCAACATTGGAAGGCAGCCATTCGTGTTCTTCGGTATCTCAAGACGACAAGAGACTACGGGATAATCTACGACGGCAGCGCTAGCGAAGTAACAGCTACAGCGTATACGGACGCGGACTGGGGTAGCAACATCGATGATCGACGCTCCGTGTCAGGGATAATGGTGATCATCGGTGGCGCACCAGCCATATACAAGTCCAAGTATCAACGCACGGTGGCTCTAAGCTCTGCTGAGGCAGAGTACATGGCTTTAAGCCTGTGTACACAGGAAGTGTTATGGGTTCGTGCGCTGCTTAAGGATCTAGGTCACGAGCAAGTGGGAGCAACGTGGGTCTGGGAAGACAATCAAGGAGCAATTGGGCTTGCCAGCAATGCCGACTACAATGCCAGAACCAAGCACGTTGACATTCGTCACCACTTCATCCGGGAGAATGTGGCCCACGATATCATCGTGGTCAAGTACATCTCCACCATGGACCAATTGGCCGACATGCTAACGAAGGCTCTGGGGACCAAGCGACTGAACTATTTGATACAAGAAAGCTGCATTGGACCCAAGGGCATTTAGCAATAGCGGTGAGTGGGAGTGTTAACATAGCACCGTCTACTGCTTTTATGTTCATGGATAGGTTTGGAAGAATCGAGAAGGACTGGCTGAGAAGAAGCACAGCATGACGTCATCGGGTGACGTCACAAGGAGAGCTTCTTAAACCTTCTGGAAGATCTTGAGAAGATCGAAGGGTGTTGATTGGTCTAGATAAACCAGTGAACCTTCTAGAAGATCTTGAGAAGATCGAAGGGTGTTCATTGGTCTAGCTAAATCAGTGGGACTGATATAGTTTGTCTAAGTATAGGAAATGAGTGGCTTAGAGGTAGCGAAGCAAGTTTGCGAACTAAGGACCATAAATATATTCACTTCACAATTTGCCTTCGCCTGCGCACATCAACATCAACAGTTTTGATGTAAGTTTATCGATAATCTGTAATTTTTAAGAGTTTATGGTGACGCATTTCTAACAGTGCAGATCAGGATCTCTCAATCTAAATCCTACAACTTAGTATTATGCTGAATGTCGCAAGCCGCACTTTGTTGTTTGCAGCGTGGCCGATCACCATATCCTGTTTATTTCATGATCGTTGGTCAAACACCAACAACTTTAACGAGTTGCTTTGAGCTACAATGCGTAATCACTCTTATCGAAAAACGCACACTACAACTAAAATCATTGGAACCAACCCCCAAAACGGTACGTGAGATACACACCTTGGTTCGGATGTATTTTCCAGATTACTAAATAACAAAATGCGATCTCTAGAATTTTTCTCCCTATCCAAAGTTTAAGAAGCAGTGTTAGCTTAAAGTTGGTAGTCGAAGGCAAATGCCGAAGTGAAATCGGCATTAGTCTAAATGCTGCTACCGTTTTCCTACTGCACCGTGTTGTCTCTGGTGCAGCCAATTTCCATGTTTACATTCTCGCAACTACTGACTCAGTTTAGAATGTCAGCCAAAATTAATGTCTCCACGTGCCCGTGATCGACGAAACAACCATGGACACTCTCTCTTCATCTTCAACGTCCGAACCTACTGAACGGCGCTCCTTGTCAACACTCTCACTCGCTGCTTAGAGGTGTGCTGCTTCTGCGCGAATTTCACTTGCCTCGAACAATAAAAGCGTGAGTTTTTTCGTCCCTATCGCCTTTGTAAACATGTCTGCTAGCAGGTCCTCAGTACCCTCGTAGTCGACCTTAATGGTGTTCAACGCCACGTTCTCGGGATGAAATTGTGTCGGATGTGACGTGCTTGGTGCGCCCGTTGTACACCACGTTGGCCGTTAACGCGATAGCCTCTTAGTTGTCTTCCCAAACTTGCGCCACTTTCACTTGCTCGTGACCAAGGTCCTTGAGCATGGTGCGGGTTTAGAGTACCTACCGCGTCCACCGGCTCAAAGCCATGTATTCCGCATGCGCCGAGCTCAGCGCCACCGTACGCTGGTATTTTGATCTGAAAATGATGGCGCGCCGCCGATCATAATCATGTTCCCGAAGACCAAGCGGTGGTCGTCTCAGTTGCTGCCCCAGTCGGAGCCCGTGCACGCTTCTAGCATGATCTTGCCGTCGTTTCTATAGTAGGCTATACCGCAGTCCCACGTTGTTTCATGTAGCAGAACACGCGTATCGCAGACTTCCAGTGCTGCTGCCCGGGGTCCTCCAAGAACCGTGATAACAGCGTGACTATACACGCCACATCCGGGCGTGTGCTAGTCGAGATGTACGAGAAGCAACCGATGCAAGACCTGTATGGCGTGGACCTCACATCTTCGCGCTCCGCGTTCGTGGACGTCGATTGCATCTTCATCAACGCCATGCCTGACTTGCACGGTTCATCACTGCTTTTTCGTCCTGTTGGTTCAACCTTTCAATTTTTTTGTTAGGTACATCACAGTCATTTAGCTATCAAGAACTAACGACCCGAAAATGTCCGTCCAGCGCAGGCCTACACATCCCTTGCTGCTGTGTAAGCTATCTAAGCTAGATGCTCACAAATGTACTCCGCGAACGGGTGCCTCTTAGGTAAATCTGATCCTCATCCCCGGAATTGAAGGTTCCGTGCTCGCGTTGTCCAGCCAATGACTTAAGTCGCCCTCAATAAACGATGCTATCTCGCCCGACTCCGAAGGCCAATGTGTCCTTATAGTTCGTGCTACCTTAACACTCCTCCTTGTGTCCATCGCTCTGTTCACGAGCCGTTGGCGGCTCGATTGAAATGTCTTACATGACTCGATCATGTGATAACATGGACGCGGTCCGCCAGCGCGGCGCATTGGCGGTATATATCCTGAAGATGTCTGGCCGTAGGTGGCAGGCGTCCTGTAGGCGGCGGGCGTCCTGGTGCTTATCTGTCGTATAACAAGGCAACTGTCGCCAGCGACATGGATGGCGCTAAGCTTGAATTCAGTAACCTTCCGAAGGCCATAGAGCAGACCTTTATTTACTTCCACGATGTTAGTGGTGAGTGAGCAGCCGAGTTCCACACTAGCCATCCATGAAATGTACAACTCACCCGTTGTGTCGTCACGTGAAATTGTCAATGCCATTGATCCCCCGATCCCTGGGCTACCTCGGACACCGCCGTCACAGAATAATACAGTTGACGGTCCTGCCGTGATCCTTGACCAAGCTTTACAGCATCCCCTTGACGGACGCGTTAGTGCAACGTGGGCTACTTGTATTGCAGCCTGGTAGTCTTCATTAGTTGTTCCCTTTTAGCATGCGGGCTCTTAGCGTAATCAGACTCTGGCGTTTGCGCCCTTTAAGCAGCGACACCCCTCGGTGAACTCTATTTGGCAGCGACTCGTCATAGCAGCGACACCTCCGTGCCCAGATCGCTTGCAGCGTGTGGACCACCCCCAGCTTCAAATGTGCCTGTAAGACCGTGTAGTGTGTAAAGTCTGTCCAGCGGAAGTGACACGTGCAATTTTATTAAGGAGTCCCAGCACCCAGGAGGTACCTCTGGTAGTTGCAAGCTAAAAACCGACGTAGGATCCTGGCTGGTGACCCAAAGTCCTAGAGATTCCCAGGGCTCGAGGAAGGTATTCATAAAGGCCGCGTAGCTCGGCACTTCCACCAGATATGACCAATCGTTATGCGCTCCTCTTGCCAGTCCGGAAGTGCACATCCGTTGAGGCCTCTCCTTGTATCCCATGTACTGGGTCCCATGTGCATGGTTTAAGCCTGAACTTAAACCTGTAGAGAAGTTGTGCGGCCCTCCCACACAGTACCCCCCCCTTCGATTTGGTAGATATCGTTCCATGCTATAGTGGAAAGCGCCGTACCGATCTTGCTATCATCTGCTATTCACTCTCTACCTCTCAGACGAATCTCTTGAAGTCCACTGCTTAGTTTCAAGGTCAAGCATCGCCTCTTGAGAAGACCACGGGTAACTTTGTTCCCACCCTTTTGCGTCCTTATGCAAACGTCTCGATCAAAAGTAGGGTGAGAGCACAAACCAAGCACCATATGCGAATTTCCAATGTAAGCCTGTATGGGCGCATAAGCCTCCTCTCGGGAAGCCACCTCAATCGTACTCGATTGAGAGGTAGAGGCAGTGCCTAAGATCAACGTAATTCGCCCGTCATCGTCTGACTCGTTCCCAACCTTGAACGTAAATGGGTGATCCGACGGAAAGCAGCTGATAGTGACGGAAGCAGGGTCCCGATGATCAAAGATCAGTTCTGGAAAGTTTGTCAGGAGCGCGACAATATATCCGTAAGTACCCAGCTTATTATGCGCAGTCGGGCATTAAAAATGTAAGCGCAGTCCGGCTTGGCATCTCCCAGCATATAAAATCGCCTAGTACGGAGTTCTTGGGGCAGAAAACTTCCAGCTCTGTCTTGGTAAAGCGTGATCCATCCTTTTTGATAAGACCGCACGTTAAAGGATGCACCGTCGGTATCCAGGCTGGATGTAGGTCTTCTTAGGTAGACTTAACAAATTCCCAGAGCGGTCGTAGGCCATCTCCTAGCATCATCGTGGTGTCTATGGTGCAGCATCCGTCCTCCCATCGTAATATATCAGGCAGTAAACGCTTGACGACCGGGTATGCAGATTGAATGGCTTCCGTCAAACTTTGTTCAGGAGGTGATGCGCCGTGGGCTTCGAGAACCCGACACCCTGCAGACCAAATAGTTTCCCCGTGCTTGAAACCCGCCTTCAAATGTCTCGCGTGTCCGAGCGTGATCCACACATTGTTAGCCTGACGCAAATATTCTTTAGTAGTAGACATTCTCCGAGAAGCATCTTGCTTCCGAACGGATCAACGCTCCACTTTTTCACTGTCACTCCTGCCATGGCCAACAACTCTGCACGTAGGTCAGGAATGACCATTCCGCCCTCCGATTGGTCAAACACGCGATTGACTCTCGTAGCCACGTCGTACATCTTCCGTCAAGTTCTCCAAAGTGCCCATGCCAGATGCAATTCTTTTTAAATTTCTGAAAGAGAATCACAGTTAAAGTCTGAGGCCAAGCGTGTCGAGCTAAGTACAAAAGCTTTGACCGCTCCGGCTACGCGCACCCGTTGGTCGACTGTTAAGGATCTCTGACTGGCCAAGCGAAGCTGTACCCGCAGTTGTTTCTCCGCAAGGTCCTAAGTTCCATTGGTGCCATCAGTGCCCCCAACCTGTATTCCAAGGTATCGGCAGTCGGCCACCGAATGTAGGAGTGGTAAGTCCGGCCTCATCCATTGAACCTCGGGGGAAAAGCCAGCCTCATGCAATGCAATGGCCGTTAGTATGGAGACATTCAGCTTTAGTCCAGAGGCTGCTCCACAATCAGAGACTACCGCAAGTACTTTACTGATGTCCTCTGGGTAAATCAAATAGACCGACGTGTCGTCCGCATAACCTGCGATGCGTAGGTCCAGATGCCTCCGGGGGCTGGTAGGATGGATTCCAGCGGTCACAGAAGGGCCATCTAATTTTTGGTAGAGGGGCTCGAGAGCTAAAATGAAGAGAAGAGGGGCGAGCGGGCATCCTTGCCCTATACCTCTCGTAATGCGTATAGATTGTGACCTTTCTCCGTTGGCTAAAAACCGTGCCATAGTACCTTCGTGCAGCAATGATATGACGTGCACCAGGTGGGAAGGATAACCTAGCCGACGAAGTACCGCAAGCATAAAGTCTCTGTCGAGAATATCGTAAGCCTTCGCAAAATCCAGCAGTAAAACCAGCGCGTTGCGGTGATTCTCTGTTCCGTTCGTAGCTTGTTTGGCCACCGAGAAAATTCTAGTGTCGTGTGTATATTCCTGTGGGGGACAAAACCTTGTTGGTTCGGGTGAATCCGGTGGGGAAGAGCGGTACGCACCGCCGTCGCCAATATTCGCGTGAACAGCTTGTAATCAGTGTTAAGCAAGGAGAGTGGGCGGTACTTCAACGGGTACTCCCATCCCCTTGATTTTTGAAACAAAATTTTTAGTCTCAAGAAATGTGTCAGGGAACACCTTAGTACTGTACCACATGCGAAAACGTTTTGTCACCAACGGGATCAGTAAGTGTGCAAAATGGAGATACCAGTCGTTGCCGAGTATGTCTAAACCACAAGCCTTCCCCGTTTGCACGTTTTAAAGGCTGCCAAGACAAGGTCTTCCTGAATGAAGGTGCCTGAATGAAACGTGTCCTCCGTATCATCAGGTATAGCCTTCAGCCACTGCAATACTCCATGCCCGTTGTTCTGCCGACCATCCTGTTTAGATAGCGACCCAAGCGTCCGCTAGAGTATTCGCCTTGTCATGCACCTCTCTGATCGGATGACCATCACGAGGAGTCAGCGATACAAGCAATTTGTCTCCAAATTTGCAGAACGATTGGTTGAAAGAAGCCTTCGTTGTTCGACCCTCCCATCAAGTGTGGGACCGGAACAGTCGCTGCTGCTTTGATCGAAGCCAATTCTGCTTAGTCTTGGAAATGAAATGAAGAGGATGTGTCGATCCCGCTTGGGGGAGACCGAATGATTCGGTATCCAACATCCAGTCTGCGAAGCTGTGCAGCAGTTAAGCAACCGCTCGTATCGACAATGTAGGCGCTTGAGGGTTTCTCGGTAAGTGTTTTCAGACTCTTGAGGGTGCCTTTTTTGAGCTGTTATGCCACTTATCATCGCAGTTTTCATTGTATCCCACCTTTGTGCTGCCTCGTGTGCCGACATTTATCCAGAATCAATCTCCGCCGTGAAATTAATTAGCAAGTCCGTCACATGTCTGTCAACTCGATATTGGGCGTACCGTGGAACTGGGGAAATATGCTGTGGCTTTTTGATGCGCAACGGGTTGACTGGGCTTCGAAAGTGAAGCAGTACTCCTTTATGGTCACTGAATAGTCCTTCTCGGTCCACCTCTGTGTCTACTGCCCGGAGGCGAGCGATGTCGTTCATGTACCAGCGTTCGAGACGACTGGTAGCCACTTTCAACCTATTCAATACGTCGTCGATGTAGCAATTCTGACTGATCGTAAACGTCCCATTAATGTGGTCATGGTCAATTTCCATGCCAAGAATGAACTTTGCCTTACCAAGCTCCTTAATTCTGAACACACTCTTCAATGCACTCTTGACCTCGTTAATCTCCTCGTTGATCTTGGCAGCGATGATCAAGTCGTCCACGTGCAAGCAGACATAGACGTAGTTGTTTTTGGTTCCCTACACGTAGACGCACTGGTCAGCCCCACAGCTGTGGAATCCAATCTTCTTCAGTACCGCGTGGATTGTCTGTCACCTGATGCTCGCAGTATGCTTCAAGCCGTATATCGCTTTGTCCAACTTGCATATCATGTTCTGCACGTTTATGATACAGTTTGGCATCTCCACAAACACTTGTTCCTTCAGGTTACTGTTCATGAACACCGTATCCGCATCCAGCTGCTGCGTAACATTAGACTTCGCAAACACTACAAAGAACACGACCCTGATCGAGTTCATGTTGGCGACGGGCGAATAGGTCTCGAAGAAGTCAAAGCCGAACTTCTGCTAAAAGCCTTTCTCCACAAGTCGTGCCTTGTATCGCACAACTCGACCTTACTCGTTCCGCTTTTTTTTGGCGAACACCCATCAACATCCAATCAGTTAGGCGCCAGATGTCCGTCAAACTAGAGTTCATGAGCCGTTGTCGTCGTGGACCTTCAACTCGGAGTCTATCAAATTTATTCACTCTGACGCCACGCTGCCCTTCATGGCCTGATGATATGTGTTCAACGCATCGTCAGATTCTCCCACACTAGCAGCGTGAGCAGTACAGCTTCAATGAGAAGACCGTCCTCTTGAACTCGAGGTCTCTTCGAAGACACTGGCCAGAACTGGTCGTTGTTGTCCGGTTCGTCCTCGTTGTTTACCTAGTAGTGTCTTCAGCGTCTCTACGATCGAGTACTGGTTCTTGAAAGCGTCGTACTCGTTTGGGTTACAAGTGGATAATCAGGTTGTTACTCAAGGCAGCCTCCGGAGCTCTTCGGTATCTTGCCAACTCATGCCTCCTCGAGTCGTCCGACTCGGCTCGGGCATGTACGTGTCTTCCTCATGGTTCTCCTCCACTACCCTATCGGTACGTAAGCAGAGGCCTGCTGCTCGGGCTCGTTCAGCACGATGTCATTGACTTCCTCCGTCGATTAGATGACCGTCGTGCTCTCCGTCGACGCTGAGTCGTATATGCCGTCGACCTCGTGCTCGTCGAGCTTCAGTAATCTGGTCATCCTCATCTTGTTTGACTCGAAGTTGTAAAAGCGGTAGCCCTTCAAATTCTCGGCGTATCCCGTGAACATGTACTTGAAGCTCTTCAGGTCCAACTTCGTGCTCTTTGCCTTGTCAACGTGAGCGTAGCCGACCAAGCCAAACACATGCTAGTGGTACAGCCGTGGCTTTTCCTTGAACGCCAACCCGTACGACGTCATGCTTTAACGCATACTTTTTGTGGGCCGTTTGATAAAGTATACCGGCGTACTGACCGCCTCGGCCCACCACATCGTTTAGATGCCTTGGTAGTACAACATGGTCCGGGTATTTTCATGATCGTGTGGTTCATGCACTCCGCCACGCCGTTCTGCTGGGGACAGTAAGGCACGGTCTTCTGGTGTGCGATCCCGCTTAACGTGCATATCTAGTCCATTTCTTTGTTAACAAACTCGGTGTCATTGTCAGGACGAAGTCACTGAATGCGCTCGCCTCACTGGTTCTCGTACAAGTTCATGAGTGTCTTGAACTTGCCGGGCACATCGCTTTTCTTGGTGATAAAGTACGCAACCACGTACTTGTGGTAGTCAGCCACGAATGTGAGCACGTACCGGGCCCCGCTCTTAGACTTCGTCTTCATGGGCCCCGTAGAGTCCGTATGAACCAGTTGCAACACCTTCGTTGCCTTTGACTGATAGTGAGACGGGAAGTGCGCGCCCGTCTGCTTGACCTTCATGCAGCCTCCGCACAGCGTCATGGACTTGTGGTCCATCATAGGCATGCCAGTGGTGGCGCGCTGCGTCTACGTCAACGCGTACTATATTAAGTAGCCCATGCGTGCATGCAACAACTCCTACTGATTGGTGACCCCGGCGTACTCGATGTACTGCGTCACGTCCTTCTCGCAGTCCAGCACGTAGGCCTTCCCCATCTTCATGCCCGATGCAATCGCCTTGGACTCGTTCCAGATAGTACACTTCTTCTGGATTTCTACGCTCTTCCGCATTCCGCCAACCTGCTGACAGACAGCAGGTGCCAGTCAAGTCCAGGTATGTACAGAACATCGGCCATCTTGATGCGCATGCCGTCGATGCCCGTGAGGCGCACCTATTCAGTCCCTACCACGCGGATCTTATTACCGCCCGCGATGCTCACCTCGATCTTTGACTCGGGATTCTTGTAACTAAACAAGTCGTTGTGGTGAGGCGTCATGTGTGCCGTCGCACGCTGTCGATCGTCCACCCAGCCGAACAATACTTTCTAACGGCGAAGACCGCGTCATCGCCGTTACCCGCGTCCAGTTCCAAGAAGTCCTCTTCATGTGGCCCATCTGGCCGCGGTTAAAGCACTTCTCTTGAAGCCTTCCTTCTTTCTTGCACCAAAGCCTTTATTGCCCTTGATGCCCTTGAAAGACTTTGCGCCTTTGAACTTCCTGCCATTCGCAGCAGCCTTAAGAACGCGCTCGGCAACATCCTTCGTATCGAGGCGCTCGTACTCCTTGAGCTTCTCCTTCACCTCGATCAGCGTGAATTCTTTCGCGTTTTCCACGATCGAGCAGATCAACTAGTACTACAGTGGGAAGGCTGCTCACCAGGACGATGAGCTGACGAGCCTCATCCAGTGATTTCCCGAGAGTCTGCAGAACCATGATAAGCCCATCAAGTCGTCCAGGTGCTTGGTCACGGCCATGTTGATTTCGATCTTGAACTTTTACAAGCGGCGGGTCATCACCACCTGGTTGTGTATGGTCTTTCGGTTGTAGAAATCCCGCAATGTGTCCCAGGCCATGCTGGCCAACGTCGCCGACCGGATTTCGTGTGGTTCTCCACCGCTACGCCTTGAGCGATCAATCCGAGCGCCTACATGACGTTGAGCAGCCACGCCTCCGTGGCCTCCGTCGAGTCCTTCACAACTTGCACGTGCATCAGTAGCCCCTTCCTCGCCAGCGTCATGCGCATGGCGAAGTCCTTAGAATTAATTGTTGCTTCCCAGGATAATTTCGGCCTTACTGGCGGACGTGGTGGTCATGGCAGCGATGTGCTTGGTCTTGAGCGTATTGCGACCGTTGAAGTGTTGGTTGTAGTTTGCAGCTGGAGGCAAATGCCGATTTCACATCGGCATTTGTCTAAATGCTGCTACCTTTATCCTACTGCCCCTTGTTGTCTCTAGTGCATCCAATTTCCATGTTTACATTCTCGCAACTACTGACTCGGTTTTAATATGTCAGCAAATCCAATGTCTCCACATGCCCGTGATCGATGAAACAATCATGGACACTCTCTCTCCATCTTCAACGTCCGAGTGTTGATGTTGATGTGCGCAGGCGAAGGCAAATTGTGAAGTGAATATATTTATGGTCCTTAGTTCGCAAACTTGCTTCGCTACCTCTAAGCCACTCATTTCCTATACTTAGACAAACTATATCAGTCCCACTGATTTAGCTAGACCAATGAACACCCTTCGATCTTCTCAAGATCTTCTAGAAGGTTCACTGGTTTATCTAGACCAATCAACACCCTTCGATCCTCTCAAGATCTTCCAGAAGGTTTAAGAAGCTCTCCTTGTGACGTCACCCGATGACGTCATGCTGTGCTTCTTCTCAGCCAGTCCTTCTCGATTCTTCCAAACCTATCCATGAACATAAAAGCAGTAGACGGTGCTATGTTAACACTCCCACTCACCGCTATTGCTAAATGCCCTTGGGTCCAATGCAGCTTTCTTGTATCAAATAGTTCAGTCGCTTGGTCCCCAGAGCCTTCGTTAGCATGTCGGCCAATTGGTCCATGGTGGAGATGTACTTGACCACGATGATATCGTGGGCCACATTCTCCCGGATGAAGTGGTGACGAATGTCAACGTGCTTGGTTCTGGCATTGTAGCCTGCATTGCTGGCAAGCCCAATTGCTCCTTGATTGTCTTCCCATACCCACGTTGCTCCCACTTGCTCGTGACCTAGATCCTTAAGCAGCGCACGAACCCATAACACTTCCTGTGTACACAGGCTTAAAGCCATGTACTCTGCCTCAGCAGAGCTTAGAGCCACCGTGCGTTGATACTTGGACTTGTATATGGCTGGTGCGCCACCGATGATCACCATTATCCCTGACACGGAGCGTCGATCATCGATGTTGCTACCCCAGTCCGCGTCCGTATACGCTGTAGCTGTTACTTCGCTAGCGCTGCCGTCGTAGATTATCCCGTAGTCTCTTGTCGTCTTGAGATACCGAAGAACACGAATGGCTGCCTTCCAATGTTGCTGACCTGGATTCTCCAAAAACCTTGATAACTGCGTGATGACATACATCACATCTGGGCGCGTACATGTCGTGATGTATAGCAAACATCCGATCAGCGACCTGTACGGCTTTGACTGCATTTCTGCTCTATCGACATCCGTCGTTGGGAATTGCTTCTTTGACAGCTTCAGGCCGGACTCGCATGGGTTGACCACTGCCTTTGCGTCCTCTTGATTAAAACGGCTGGCCACATCATCGATGTATCGAGTCTGTCGAATCATCAGCTTACTGCAGTTGTGGTCATGATCAATCTCCACGCCAAGAATAAATTTAGCCTTGCCTAGCTCCTTCATACGAAATGAGCTCTTGAGTGCTGTCTTGACCTCTTGAATCTCCCTGCTGGTCTTGGCGGCGATGATCATGTCGTCGACGTAGAGACAAACATAGACATAGTTGTCATCTTGATGCTTGACGTAGATACACTGATCTGCTCTGCTGCTACGAAATCCGATCTGTAAGAATACAGCATGGATTGTCTTGTTCCACGCACTTGCAGCCTGCTTGAGACCGTAGATTGCCTTGTCCAACTTGCACATCATCTTCTCCGCATTAGCTATGCCATTTGGCACTTCCATGTACACCTCTTCCTTGAGATCACTGTTCAAGAACGCCGTGTCTACGTCCAGCTGCTCAGTGACGTATCCCTTTGTCACCACCACAGCTAGCACAACCCTGATCGAGTTCATGTTTGCCACGGGAGAGTACGTCTCGAAGAAGTCGACACCGAATTTCTGCTTGAACCCCTTTGCGACGAGTCGAGCTTTGTAGCGCACCACTTGTCCGTGTTCGTTTCGCTTCTTAGCGAATATCCATCTGCACCCGATTGGTCGAATGTCTTGCCGTTTTGGTACCAGTGTCCAGGACCCGTTATCGGCGTGCGCCTTGAGCTCCGCTTGCATCGCTTGAATCCACTTGCTGTTGTCTTCGCCTTTTAACGCTTGGCTGTATGTTGATGGAGCGTCGTCCGCCTCGCCAACGCTTGCAGCATAGGCTAATACAGCCTCTGCAATGAGACCTTCGTCATCAATTCTTGCACGCTTTGGAGAAGGTGGTTCATCGCTACCTTCTGACGTGTCTTCACTGCTATTCCCATTCTCAAGCAGCAGCATTCTGTCTCGTGAGCGTCTTGTCCGATTTATCTCCGGCTGAAATACCAACCTGTCCTCCTGAAAAGCTTGTCTCGGAGCTTGATATCCCGTTATCTCATCGCCTCTTGGTTCTTGAGTTTCTGGATCGAGTACTTGAGGTATGATGATACCTGTTTCGAATGGAGCCGATTCTATCTCGTCCATCTCGACATCAGGAGCGCTTTCTTCGACATCTTCCATCGTCTCGTCTCCATCATACGGACGAACCACCGGAATCACTGCTTCATCAGTGTCCCTAATATACTTGACGACTGGTACTTTATCTGGTACCACCGTGTCGTATATGCCTTCAACTTCCCGCTCGTCCAGCTTTACGGAGCGCGATATGACAACCTTCGACCTTTCCAGATTGAACACCCTGTATCCCTTGGTGTTCTCCGCATATCCGAGGAACATACACCGGTAACTCTTTGGTTCGAGCTTCGTCCTCTTGGCGTCGTCAATGTGAGCATACCCTTGCGATCCAAACACACGCAAATGCTCAATACTCGGCTTCATCTTGAAACCAACCTCGAACGGTGTTACGTCCGAATTTGCAGAGTTTGTGGATCTGTTGATCAAGTACACAGCCGTACTGACCGCCTCTGCCCACCACTGCATGTCGATACCCTTGTAGTACAGCATGCTCCTTGCCTTCTCCATGATAGTGCGATTCATGCGTTCCGCAACGCCGTTCTGTTGCGGACTATATGGTACTGTCCGTTGGTGCATGATACCATTACGGGCGCATATATGGGCAATCTTCTTGTTGACAAACTCCGTCCCGTTATCCGACCGTATACACTTCAAGTGCTTGCCCCATTGATTCTCATAGAAAGCCTTGAACTCGCTAAGCCTTGCGGCCACCTCGCTCTTGTGCTTCATGAAGTACGCTGCCACAAATCTTGAGTAGTCGTCTACGAATGTCAATACGAATCGTGCACCACCCTTTGAGACCGTCTTCATCGGTCCCATCACGTCCGTGTGTACTAGTTCCAACACACGTGACGTCCTTGTTAGCGATTGAGACGGGAATGTATCGATCGTCAGCTTGCCCTTCATGCATCCACTGCACAGCTTCTCGATGCCCTGCTTTACCGCCGGCATACCACTCGTAGCGCGCTGTGTCTTGTCCATACCAGATCTTCCGGGGTGTCCCAAGTGAGCGTGCCAAAGCTCCCACTCACTTTCAGCCCCTGCGTATTCTACAAGCCGGGCTTCTTCTTGTTCGCAATCCAGGAAGTACGCCTTGCCAATCTTCTTGCCGCTTGCAATCGCGCGCTTGGCACTCCAAATGATGCAGGACGAGCTTTGAAACTCCACCCTCATGCCTCGTCCTGCCAGTTTGCCAACGGACAGCAATCGTTTGTCAAGTCCTGGTATGTGCATGACCTCGACCATCATGATCCGTCGACCGTCTAGACTTTTCAGCTTGACTGTTCCCACTCCAGCTACCTGCAGCTTCTTGCCATCAGCGATAGAGACTTGTTGACCAGTCTTCAACTCCTTGTACTCAAATAGATCGCTCCGATGTGGTGTCCTGTGCGACGTAGCCCCGCTGTCGATAAGCCATTCTTCGCATTGCAACTCACCAGCAGCAAACACAGCACCTTCTTCCTCGCCATTGCTACGCTTCAGGCAGTCCCGCTTATAGTGTCCGACTTGACCACACTTAAAGCACTTGCCTTTAATTCCGGTGTTGGTTTTCCGTAGATAGTTTCCCTTGCGGCCGTTACCTTGGCCTCCCTTGAACCGTCTACCGTTGCTGCTTACAGGAAACGCCTTCTCCGTAGTCTCCTTCCTCTGCAATCGTTCATGCTCCTTGAGCAGCTTTTCCTTGACCTCGATGAGCGTAATGTCCTTGGAATTCTCTACAATTGACGAGATGAGCTCATAGTCCGTCGGAAGACTACTAAGCAGCACCACTAGCTGCCGAGAGTCATCGACTGGCTCTCCAAGTGTCTGGAGGCCAACAAAAAGCTCTTCAAAAGCATCCAAGTGCTTCGACATGGTCGAACCATTCTCCATCTTGAACTCATGCAGACGACGTGTCATCTCGACACGATTGTGGAGCGTGGTGCGGTTGTAGAAGTCCCGCAAGATGACCCACGCGTGCATAGCTGTCGCCGCCGATCGTATCTTGGTCTGGTGCTGTAGCTCTATGCCTTGAGCGATGATACCCAGTGCCTTAGCGTCGTTGAACAGCCAGGCATCCGTCATCTCTTCTTCTTTCTTGATGACTTGAACGTGCACCAGCAGTCCCTTGCGCGCCAACGTCATGCGCATGTTATACTCCCAGTGGAAGTAGTTTCCACTACCCAGGAGGACTTCACACCGCTTGTTTGTCATGGTGGACGTGGTGGCTTGGCGGTTTGGAGCGCGTTGCGGCTGTTAACCTGTTGATGTTGATGTGCGCAGGCGAAGGCAAATTGTGAAGTGAATATATTTATGGTCCTTAGTTCGCAAACTTGCTTCACTACCTCTAAGCCACTCATTTCCTATACTTAGACAAACTATATCAGTCCCACTGATTTAGCTAGACCAATGAACACCCTTCGATCTTCTCAAGATCTTCTAGAAGGTTCACTGGTTTATCTAGACCAATCAACACCCTTCGATCTTCTCAAGATCTTCCAGAAGGTTTAAGAAGCTCTCCTTGTGACGTCACCCGATGACGTCATGCTGTGCTTCTTCTCAGCCAGTCCTTCTCGATTCTTCCAAACCTATCCATGAACATAAAAGCAGTAGACGGTGCTATGTTAACACCGAGCCTACTTAGCGGCGCTTGCGCTTCTTGTCAACACCAACTCATGCGAATTAGGGTATACATGTGTCATATTGGTCAATCGATCATGTGGGACACTGCCGTGTTTAAAGGTCCTGCTCCCATATATCCAGCACATTCTTGTAGTGCAACATACTCCGTGCCCTCTCCATGATCGTGCTAGCTAAGAGTCTTACCGCTTCGTTGTACGGAACAGTTCGTTGATGAATAATACAGCTCCAGGGGCATCATGCATACTGTCCTGTTGACAAACTCCGTCCCATCAAAAGAGCGCAGACGCTCTTGCGCTCCACCTATTCATTTTCTTTCAGATGTTGGGTTTCTTTGAGGTCGCCGATCATCTTGCTGTTGTTCTTCATGAAATATACTGTTACACACCATGATTAGCCTCCTACGAGTACAAAGCGAAGTCAGTAGTCTCCCACGCGGCGAATGAACCGTGGCGATTCGTCGTTTTGCCGTCGCTACATGCTACATAGATAGGCCGCCTGAGTCGGATGCGAGTCCAGCTCTGCCAGAAGAAGCGTTGCCAGGGCTACGTCATACCTGCGTCTTACGCTGACACGATTATAGCTACGTATAACAACCAGAAGGTTGAGAGGATGGTTAAATACTAGCGCATGTGAGGTCGGCACTGGCCGACACGCTACTACGACACGACAAATTCGTTCCTCTGCGGCCAATAAGGCTGGTAGAGCCATGTGTGTTACACCTGCTTTTTTTCGACGTGCGATCTCGAGGAAATCCTGGGCTGGGAGGGTCTGACTACGTCATCGCCAAGGTTCACACATCGAATCATACAGCCTGCATCGTGTGGGTGGCCAGCGTGGCATATGGCAATCCAACTGCTACTGACAATTTTGCAGAATATTAAGGCCTCATGCACGGTCTTTCGCCGTGCTAATGAAGGCGTGATGTCGCATCTGCATTTTGTAAAGGACAGTGCTTTTGTGCTCTCGTAACTTTGTACATATTGCTTACCGCGTGAACCCCAGCTGGCGCAATTATACGACGTGGCGAGAGATGTAGCCAAAGATGTAGCTGTGGTCAGCTGGGGTCATCACTACTGCGATAACAACTAAATGGCTGACTGTGTGGCAAACTAGCCATAGACACGTGCAGCTCCGTTCAAGTATGAATTCCGGCTGGCCGAAGAGTCGTTAAGGAGCTGTCAGCACACCTCGACAACGACGTCAACACTAAATCTAGACATCTACAAATGAACACGCAAATGCCAGTGAACCCACTTACACAGAAAAATCCGAACTCGTTCACGAAAACACTCTGCGCTGCGCGGAGGCGTGGTTAGTGGAATAATCATCGCCTAAGATATAACTTAAATTTATGTGTGGCAAATTGGTCACTACAGTACTAGAAATAGCAGGTCGCCAGTGTACCTGAATAAACCTCACCTTCTCACACAAGAAAAATGCTTGAAAGCTACGCTTCAACCGCGTTCCACGGCTTTATCGCAACCGGCATCAGGCGCATACTGATTTCTACGATGTGCCCATCGACCTAATGCGTCTATTCAACGCCGGTTCACTTTTCTTCTCTTCTTTTGTAGACCTTTAACTTCTTGACAGCATCACCAGTCTAATCTGTTAATGTTGTCGGTTGTCGTGTTGGAGGCAAATGCCGAAGTTAGTATATTTAAGGTCCTTGTGTCGCTATCTCGAGCTGTCTCTAAGCCTTCATGTCACGCTTTTTCTAAGGCAATCTTCTGAAACTAGCATAACTTCCTGATAATTTATTTCATGAATCATCATCCTAACACCATGAATCGTACTTGTTCAGCGGTATACTATCAACTAATTTAAAGCCGACGCTCGGTGCTTCGTAGCCGAATAAGTAAGAAAGATGTGGAGTCATTTGCGATGTAGAACCACTATCGATCAGTCATATTTTCGGTCGTTCCTCGTCCACGACAATTACACAAACATTACTGTCATCGCCTCTAAGCTCCGTGGTTATGCCTTACTCACTTTCACTTAAAACAACCGCCATTCTTCCTTAGGGCATTCCTCTTGTGATCGTGTCCTCGACCACCTTTGAACTTTTTATGGATTCCATCGGCTCGGAACGTCTTTTCCACGCTGCTATCCTTATTTTCCAGCACTCCTGCTCCTTGATCAACTTATCGTTTACCTCAACTAGGGACACGTCCTTAGCTTCTCTACGCCTAAGACAACCGTACCATACTCGGAGAAAATACTGCTACGCAAACCTATAACTTTCTGCATCATCAACGGGCTCTTCTAGCGTCTGTAATGTGATGGCTGGATCGACAAATTCGTCCAGATGCGGAGTATGCTTGGCCGTAGACGTTTTGTCTATCCAGAACTCGTGAAGACGACGTGTCATGGTGATCCGGTCGTGGAGAAAACAACGATTGTAGAATTCTTGTAGCTCTCTCCAAGCATTCACCGCACGCGTTCACAAACGTGGTGTGGTGTGTAAGTTACATGCCTTGTGCAATGAACCGAGCATCGTTGCGTCACTAACGATCCACTCATCGGGCGTACGACCTCAACATGCTATCGAAGTCTTTCGTGCTAGACTCATGCGCGTGTTATACTTCCACATAAAGTAATAATTGATCCTTTGAAAGGCATCGGTGTCTTTTGTTGAGAGATTCGTATTGCAGCTACGGATCCCCAATCTCTCAAGTTGCAATGAGTGGTGTTGAATGAATATCCGAAGTAACCAATTTAAAGTTATCAAAACTACTCTCCCTAGCACGTATTTTTAAGCCTAGCTGTTCACCACTTATGATCTTCCGACCACCGATATATATTCTTATGATGCTAAGAGGAACTGTTGAGAAGAGGACAAATTCCGAAGTGAATATGTTTGTTAGGTCCTTAGTTCGCACTACTGCTACATCTAAGCCTACATCCATCCACTCTGATTTTCCTTAATTATGAATCTGCTTCCTACACGATCGTTACCGTCGTCTGCTATTGACGTCCGTTATTGTCATCCGTTACCGACGTCCGTTACCATGATGCTTGTCGCAGATTTCAAGACTCCCGTCATGTCACCAGCCTTCTAAAACATGTATTGAGCGGCGTTTTCTTTAGCAGGTGTCATCTCAACAGGAACTTTACTGCAGTCCGTCGTCTCACGTGAGCTTTGCAACTCTGCGCTCTTTAGCATTTTTTATCATTGCGCAAATCGTAGCAACTTCTACGGATGTTGCTTTATTTCCAGACGTTTCCGCTGTACCATGAGATGGCGGTGTGTCTCGTACGAAATTCTAATATTACCATCAACTGTATTGCGGTACGCTTAAGCAATCACTGAAACTTTTTCAGATTAGGTTTCTTAGTTGGCAGTCAGCCCATCCTTTTCATGATGACGTTCCTACTCTGCCTAACTAGAGCAATTGGGACAGCGCACACGGCAGCATGGGCGGTGCCTTCAAATCGGCCCCTCACGAGGCCATACTTTTGTGCGCACACTGTATTTTCGACTGGTTGCACAACCATCTTTGACAAGTTCATGTCATCGTACCAAGTGTTCAATCCAGGCTAAGTCCAACAGCGCTCGTCACAGTAACAGGCGCATGATCTGCTGGAAAGAGCGCCGGAACCAACGCCTGGTACAAAATACGTTGACTTGTTAATGAAATGTAATGTACGGTCTGAAATGCATTTTGCCGTTACACAGGCGATATTATGGTCCGCGTGGGACGCAGTGCTGAGGGTTTTGATCGAATCATGCGATCGTCAACCATAACTGATACTTAAACTACAACACCGCACCAAAAGTAAGTGCGGTTTCGAACACGCCGAGATATAGATATAAAGATGGGGCGAGGGGAGGGAGAGAGAGCTCAATTTACTTCTCAAGCTACCTAGCACAGTGCATGACATCGCAGTCAGACAGGATGTACAGTTTAGCCTTCCCGAACATTCATGTATTAAGCGGATCCGTTCCCTATTCATGCTTCTGGGTATATAGACGCAGTCTGTTAATATAGCACCGTCTACTGCTTTTTATGTTCATGGATAGGTTTGGAAGAATCGAGAAGGACTGGCTGAGAAGAAGCACAGCATGACGTCATCGGGTGACGTCACAAGGAGAGCTTCTTAAACCTTCTGAAAGATCTTGAGAAGATCGAAGGGTGTTGATTGGTCTAGATAAACCAGTGAACCTTCTAGAAGATCTTGAGAAGATCGAAGGGTGTTCATTGGTCTAGCTAAATCAGTGGGACTGATATAGTTTGTCTAAGTATAGGAAATGAGTGGCTTAGAGGTAGCGAAGCAAGTTTGCGAACTAAGGACCATAAATATATTCACTTCACAATTTGCCTTCGCCTGCGCACATCAACATCAACAGGTTAACAGCCGCAACGCGCTCCAAACCGCCAAGCCACCACGTCCACCATGACAAACAAGCGGTGTGAAGTCCTCCTGGGTAGTGGAAACTACTTCCACTGGGAGTATAACATGCGCATGACGTTGGCGCGCAAGGGACTGCTGGTGCACGTTCAAGTCATCAAGAAAGAAGAAGAGATGACGGATGCCTGGCTGTTCAACGACGCTAAGGCACTGGGTATCATCGCTCAAGGCATAGAGCTACAGCACCAGACCAAGATACGATCGGCGGCGACAGCTATGCACGCGTGGGTCATCTTGCGGGACTTCTACAACCGCACCACGCTCCACAATCGTGTCGAGATGACACGTCGTCTGCATGAGTTCAAGATGGAGAATGGTTCGACCATGTCGAAGCACTTGGATGCTTTTGAAGAGCTTGTTGTCGGCCTCCAGACACTTGGAGAGCCAGTCGATGACTCTCGGCAGCTAGTGGTGCTGCTTAGTAGTCTTCCGACGGACTATGAGCTCATCTCGTCAATTGTAGAGAATTCCAAGGACATTACGCTCATCGAGGTCAAGGAAAAGCTGCTCAAGGAGTATGAACGATTGCAGAGGAAGGAGACTACGGAGAAGGCGTTTCCTGTAAGCAGCAACGGTAGACGGTTCAAGGGAGGCCAAGGTAACGGCCGCAAGGGAAACTATCTACGGAAAACCAACACCGGAATTAAAGGCAAGTGCTTTAAGTGTGGTCAAGTCGGACACTATAAGCGGGACTGCCTGAAGCGTAGCAATGGCGAGGAAGAAGGTGCTGTGTTTGCTGCTGGTGAGTTGCAATGCGAAGAATGGCTTATCGACAGCGGGGCTACGTCGCACATGACACCACATCGGAGCGATATATTTGAGTACAAGGAGTTGAAGACTGGTCAACAAGTCTCTATCGCTGATGGCAAGAAGCTGCAGGTAGCTGGAGTGGGAACAGTCAAGCTGAAAGGTCTAGACGGTCGACGGATCATGATGGTCGATGTCATGCACATACCAGGACTTGACAAACGATTGCTGTCCGTTGGCAAACTGGCAGGACGAGGCATGAGGGTGGAGTTTCAAAGCTCGTCCTGCATCATTTGGAGTGCCAAGCGCGCGATTGCAAGCGGCAAGAAGATTGGCAAGGCGTACTTCCTGGATTGCGAACAAGAAGAAGCCCGGCTTGTAGAATACGCAGGGGCTGAAAGTGAGTGGGAGCTTTGGCACGCTCGCTTGGGACACCCCGGAAGATCTGGTATGGACAAGACACAGCGCGCTACGAGTGGTATGCCGGCGGTAAAGCAGGGCATCGAGAAGCTGTGCAGTGGATGCATGAAGGGCAAGCTGACGATCGATACATTCCCGTCTCAATCGCTAACAAGGACGTCACGTGTGTTGGAACTAGTACACACGGACGTGATGGGACCGATTAAGACGGTCTCAAAGGGTGGTGCACGATTCGTATTGACATTCGTAGACGACTACTCAAGATTTGTGGCAGCGTACTTCATGAAGCACAAGAGCGGGGTGGCCGCAAGGCTTAGCGAGTTCAAGGCTTTCTATGAGAATCAATGGGGCAAGCACTTGAAGTGTATACGGTCGGATAACGGGACGGAGTTTGTCAACAAGAAGATTGCCCATATATGCGCCCGTAATGGTATCATGCACCAACGGACAGTACCATATAGTCCGCAACAGAACGGCGTTGCGGAACGCATGAATCGCACTATCATGGAGAAGGCAAGGAGCATGCTGTACTACAAGGGTATCGACATGCAGTGGTGGGCAGAGGCGGTCAGTACGGCTGTGTACTTGATCAACAGATCCACAAACTCTGCAAATTCGGACGTAACACCGTTCGAGGTTGGTTTCAAGATGAAGCCGAGTATTGAGCATTTGCGTGTGTTTGGATCGCAAGGGTATGCTCACATTGACGACGCCAAGAGGACGAAGCTCGAACCAAAGAGTTACCGGTGTATGTTCCTCGGATATGCGGAGAACACCAAGGGATACAGGGTGTTCAATCTGGAAAGGTCGAAGGTTGTCATATCGCGCTCCGTAAAGCTGGACGAGCGGGAAGTTGAAGGCATATACGACACGGTGGTACCAGATAAAGTACCAGTCGTCAAGTATATTAGGGACACTGATGAAGCAGTGATTCCGGTGGTTCGTCCGTATGATGGAGACGAGACGATGGAAGATGTCGAAGAAAGCGCTCCTGATGTCGAGATGGACGAGATAGAATCGGCTCCATTCGAAACAGGTATCATCATACCTCAAGTACTCGATCCAGAAACTCAAGAACCAAGAGGCGATGAGATAACGGGATATCAAGCTCCGAGACAAGCTTTTCAGGAGGACAGGTTGGTATTTCAGCCGGAGATAAATCGGACAAGACGCTCACGAGACAGAATGCTGCTGCTTGAGAATGGGAATAGCAGTGAAGACACGTCAGAAGGTAGCGATGGACCACCTTCTCCAAAGCGTGCAAGAATTGATGACGAAGGTCTCATTGCAGAGGCTGTATTAGCCTATGCTGCAAGCGTTGGCGAGGCGGACGACGCTCCATCAACATACAGCCAAGCGTTAAAAGGCGAAGACAACAGCAAGTGGATTCAAGCGAGCGGAGCTCAAGGCGCACGCCGATAACGGGTCCTGGACACTGGTACCAAAACGGCAAGACATTCGACCAATCGGGTGCAGATGGATATTCGCTAAGAAGCGAAACGAACACGGACAAGTGGTGCGCTACAAAGCTCGACTCGTCGCAAAGGGGTTCAAGCAGAAATTCGGTGTCGACTTCTTCGAGACGTACTCTCCCGTGGCAAACATGAACTCGATCAGGGTTGTGCTAGCTGTGGTGGTGACAAAGGGATACGTCACTGAGCAGCTGGACGTAGACACGGCGTTCTTGAACTGTGATCTCAAGGAAGAGGTGTACATGGAAGTGCCAAATGGCATAGCTAATGCGGAGAAGATGATGTGCAAGTTGGACAAGGCAATCTACGGTCTCAAGCAGGCTGCAAGTGCGTGGAACAAGACAATCCATGCTGTATTCTTACAGATCGGATTTCGTAGCAGCAGAGCAGATCAGTGTATCTACGTCAAGCATCAAGAGGACAACTATGTCTATGTTTGTCTCTACGTCGACGACATGATCATCGCCGCCAAGACCAGCAGGGAGATTCAAGAGGTCAAGACAGCACTCAAGAGCTCATTTCGTATGAAGGAGCTAGGCAAGGCTAAATTTATTCTTGGCGTGGAGATTGATCATGACCACAACTGCAGTAAGCTGATGATTCGACAGACTCGATACATCGATGATGTGGCCAGCCGTTTTAATCAAGAGGACGCAAAGGCAGTGGTCAACCCATGCGAGTCCGGCCTGAAGCTGTCAAAGAAGCAATTCCCAACGACGGATGTCGATAGAGCAGAAATGCAGTCAAAGCCGTACAGGTCGCTGATCGGATGTTTGCTATACATCACGACATGTACGCGCCCAGATGTGATGTATGTCATCACGCAGTTATCAAGGTTTTTGGAGAATCCAGGTCAGCAACATTGGAAGGCAGCCATTCGTGTTCTTCGGTATCTCAAGACGACAAGAGACTACGGGATAATCTACGACGGCAGCGCTAGCGAAGTAACAGCTACAGCGTATACGGACGCGGACTGGGGTAGCAACATCGATGATCGACGCTCCGTGTCAAGGATAATGGTGATCATCGGTGGCGCACCAGCCATATACAAGTCCAAGTATCAACGCACGGTGGCTTTAAGCTCTGCTGAGGCAGAGTACATGGCTTTAAGCCTGTGTACACAGGAAGTGTTATGGGTTCGTGCGCTGCTTAAGGATCTAGGTCACGAGCAAGTGGGAGCAACGTGGGTATGGGAAGACAATCAAGGAGCAATTGGGCTTGCCAGCAATGCCGGCTACAATGCCAGAACCAAGCACGTTGACATTCGTCACCACTTCATCCGGGAGAATGTGGCCCACGATATCATCGTGGTCAAGTACATCTCCACCATGGACCAATTGGCCGACATGCTAACGAAGGCTCTGGGGACCAAGCGACTGAACTATTTGATACAAGCAAGCTGCATTGGACCCAAGGGCATTTAGCAATAGCGGTGAGTGGGAGTGTTAACATAGCACCGTCTACTGCTTTTATGTTCATGGATAGGTTTGGAAGAATCGAGAAGGACTGGCTGAGAAGAAGCACAGCATGACGTCATCGGGTGACGTCACAAGGAGAGCTTCTTAAACCTTCTGGAAGATCTTGAGAAGATCGAAGGGTGTTGATTGGTCTAGATAAACCAGTGAACCTTCTAGAAGATCTTGAGAAGATCGAAGGGTGTTCATTGGTCTAGCTAAATCAGTGGGACTGATATAGTTTGTCTAAGTATAGGAAATGAGTGGCTTAGAGGTAGTGAAGCAAGTTTGCGAACTAAGGACCATAAATATATTCACTTCACAATTTGCCTTCGCCTGCGCACATCAACATCAACAGGTTAACAGCCGCAACGCGCTCCAAACCGCCAAGCCACCACGTCCACCATGACAAACAAGCGGTGTGAAGTCCTCCTGGGTAGTGGAAACTACTTCCACTGGGAGTATAACATGCGCATGACGTTGGCGCGCAAGGGACTGCTGGTGCACGTTCAAGTCATCAAGAAAGAAGAAGAGATGACGGATGCCTGGCTGTTCAACGACGCTAAGGCACTGGGTATCATCGCTCAAGGCATAGAGCTACAGCACCAGACCAAGATACGATCGGCGGCGACAGCTATGCACGCGTGGGTCATCTTGCGGGACTTCTACAACCGCACCACGCTCCACAATCGTGTCGAGATGACACGTCGTCTGCATGAGTTCAAGATGGAGAATGGTTCGACCATGTCGAAGCACTTGGATGCTTTTGAAGAGCTTTTTGTTGGCCTCCAGACACTTGGAGAGCCAGTCGATGACTCTCGGCAGCTAGTGGTGCTGCTTAGTAGTCTTCCGACGGACTATGAGCTCATCTCGTCAATTGTAGAGAATTCCAAGGACATTACGCTCATCGAGGTCAAGGAAAAGCTGCTCAAGGAGCATGAACGATTGCAGAGGAAGGAGACTACGGAGAAGGCGTTTCCTGTAAGCAGCAACGGTAGACGGTTCAAGGGAGGCCAAGGTAACGGCCGCAAGGGAAACTATCTACGGAAAACCAACACCGGAATTAAAGGCAAGTGCTTTAAGTGTGGTCAAGTCGGACACTATAAGCGGGACTGCCTGAAGCGTAGCAATGGCGAGGAAGAAGGTGCTGTGTTTGCTGCTGGTGAGTTGCAATGCGAAGAATGGCTTATCGACAGCGGGGCTACGTCGCACATGACACCACATCGGAGCGGTATATTTGAGTACAAGGAGTTGAAGACTGGTCAACAAGTCTCTATCGCTGATGGCAAGAAGCTGCAGGTAGCTGGAGTGGGAACAGTCAAGCTGAAAGGTCTAGACGGTCGACGGATCATGATGGTCGATGTCATGCACATACCAGGACTTGACAAACGATTGCTGTCCGTTGGCAAACTGGCAGGACGAGGCATGAGGGTGGAGTTTCAAAGCTCGTCCTGCATCATTTGGAGTGCCAAGCGCGCGATTGCAAGCGGCAAGAAGATTGGCAAGGCGTACTTCCTGGATTGCGAACAAGAAGAAGCCCGGCTTGTAGAATACGCAGGGGCTGAAAGTGAGTGGGAGCTTTGGCACGCTCGCTTGGGACACCCCGGAAGATCTGGTATGGACAAGACACAGCGCGCTACGAGTGGTATGCCGGCGGTAAAGCAGGGCATCGAGAAGCTGTGCAGTGGATGCATGAAGGGCAAGCTGACGATCGATACATTCCCGTCTCAATCGCTAACAAGGACGTCACGTGTGTTGGAACTAGTACACACGGACGTGATGGGACCGATGAAGACGGTCTCAAAGGGTGGTGCACGATTCGTATTGACATTCGTAGACGACTACTCAAGATTTGTGGCAGCGTACTTCATGAAGCACAAGAGCGGGGTGGCCGCAAGGCTTAGCGAGTTCAAGGCTTTCTATGAGAATCAATGGGGCAAGCACTTGAAGTGTATACGGTCGGATAACGGGACGGAGTTTGTCAACAAGAAGATTGCCCATATATGCGCCCGTAATGGTATCATGCACCAACGGACAGTACCATATAGTCCGCAACAGAACGGCGTTGCGGAACGCATGAATCGCACTATCATGGAGAAGGCAAGGAGCATGCTGTACTACAAGGGTATCGACATGCAGTGGTGGGCAGAGGCGGTCAGTACGGCTGTGTACTTGATCAACAGATCCACAAACTCTGCAAATTCGGACGTAACACCGTTCGAGGTTGGTTTCAAGATGAAGCCGAGTATTGAGCATTTGCGTGTGTTTGGATCGCAAGGGTATGCTCACATTGACGACGCCAAGAGGACGAAGCTCGAACCAAAGAGTTACCGGTGTATGTTCCTCGGATATGCGGAGAACACCAAGGGATACAGGGTGTTCAATCTGGAAAGGTCGAAGGTTGTCATATCGCGCTCCGTAAAGCTGGACGAGCGGGAAGTTGAAGGCATATACGACACGGTGGTACCAGATAAAGTACCAGTCGTCAAGTATATTAGGGACACTGATGAAGCAGTGATTCCGGTGGTTCGTCCGTATGATGGAGACGAGACGATGGAAGATGTCGAAGAAAGCGCTCCTGATGTCGAGATGGACGAGATAGAATCGGCTCCATTCGAAACAGGTATCATCATACCTCAAGTACTCGATCCAGAAACTCAAGAACCAAGAGGCGATGAGATAACGGGATATCAAGCTCCGAGACAAGCTTTTCAGGAGGACAGGTTGGTATTTCAGCCGGAGATAAATCGGACAAGACGCTCACGAGACAGAATGCTGCTGCTTGAGAATGGGAATAGCAGTGAAGACACGTCAGAAGGTAGCGATGGACCACCTTCTCCAAAGCGTGCAAGAATTGATGACGAAGGTCTCATTGCAGAGGCTGTATTAGCCTATGCTGCAAGCGTTGGCGAGGCGGACGACGCTCCATCAACATACAGCCAAGCGTTAAAAGGCGAAGACAACAGCAAGTGGATTCAAGCGATGCAAGCGGAGCTCAAGGCGCACGCCGATAACGGGTCCTGGACACTGGTACCAAAACGGCAAGACATTCGACCAATCGGGTGCAGATGGATATTCGCTAAGAAGCGAAACGAACACGGACAAGTGGTGCGCTACAAAGCTCGACTCGTCGCAAAGGGGTTCAAGCAGAAGTTTGGAGTCGAATTCTTTGAGACCTACTCGCCGGTGGCAAACATGAACTCGATCAGGGTTGTGCTAGCTGTGGTGGTGACAAAGGGATACGTCACTGAGCAGCTGGACGTAGACACGGCGTTCTTGAACTGTGATCTCAAGGAAGAGGTGTACATGGAAGTGCCAAATGGCATAGCTAATGCGGAGAAGATGATGTGCAAGTTGGACAAGGCAATCTACGGTCTCAAGCAGGCTGCAAGTGCGTGGAACAAGACAATCCATGCTGTATTCTTACAGATCGGATTTCGTAGCAGCAGAGCAGATCAGTGTATCTACGTCAAGCATCAAGAGGACAACTATGTCT